TAAGCTTGTGGTCAGCATCTCATCCATTCCGAGGTGGGCCTGCATTTAAAGAAATTACACTGATGAAGCCTTTGGAAAATATTTTCCAGTCCATAAGGTCACATTCTTTTTATTTTTTCTGAAGTATTAAAGTTTAGGTATCTCTTAATGCAAATTCAATATATAATTTTATATTAAATGAACATGATATTCTGGAAATGAAAAAAGGAATCAAATTCAATTATTGCTTGTATAAATAGCACATGTATAAATGTATAAATCATCCTAATCTAGGAAATACTGAATTGATCAGAATTTCAAAATATTAAAGCTTTGTAAAGCATTTTGTTATGTAAGCTATTGTTTTCTTTCTCTACAGCTTTAGAAGCTATTTATTTTGAATGCAGTAGATAAAGAGGAGATCAGTTATGTATAACATTATATATTTTGGAATTTTTACTACATCAGCCTATCTGAAAATCTGGATTAAATAGTTAGTCATCACCCTTATGATATTTCTCGGTCTTTTTTTTTCTTGAATACCACATCCTATCGATACAAAGGTTCCAGATAAAATTTCTGGCCTTTCTGGCAAAAGCCATCCATGTTTTATTTTCCAGCTATGACCAATCTCGTTTCCTTCTTTTATTATTGTTTGCCATTTTAAGCATTTAAAGAATGAACAAGCAGTTTCTACTATTTCTATAAAGACTCAAAGTATACTCCAGGATCAGTCAAGCATGATACATTTTGCTTTCATCATTGTCTATTCATCAGTCTCATCCAAGGAAAGACTGTTGGTGGAGCTTCTTAAGGGGACAGAATAGGGTAGAAGGAGGACTAGCCATGATTAGTTGGCTTTTTTGTGGGTTTGTTTATTTTCTCCCCTATTTACCAACAACTTTTTTTTATTTGCCAGTGTACCTCAGCCGCAAATTCATTGTAACAGTACAACCCAGACTTGGTCTGTAGGTGGTTTTAAATTATTCCGCTTATAAAGGGGTGATTTTGGCAGGGTGTTGCTTGGGCTAGAGACACAAATCGTAATTTTTAGATGCCCCTTTTGACAAAATCCACTTTTATTAGAAAAACAGATCCTTGCTGGTTGAGCACCTGGAAGAAGCTGCTTCTACCAGCTGCAAAAGTAGAAGATCTGTATGCTGTCAAACAATTTATTTCAGAGAGATTACATTATTTTATTACTAAAGGTGGCAGGCAATGATTTAACCTTATTATTTTTGGCAAGATTTCAATTGACAGTTAAGTCTACAGCAGATTGCTTAGTAACAAGGCAGATAAAAATGGAAAGGCATAGTGGATTAGCCCAATTTAAGAAGTAAGACTGACATATATTGAATCAGGCTTCTGAAAAATGCTTTCATTTACTATTACAAAATACCCATTTTGTAATAGGAATTCTGTTTCTAGCAATCTCTCTTGAAGTAGAAAGAACTTTCAACAGCTCAGGCATGTGACCTGAAAGCTCACATAACACTAATTGATTTAATTCAATTTAACTTATATAAAATCAAATTCTTAAAATAACATCAAACATTAAAAATGCCAGTATGCATTTTTTATGTTTCTTCCCAACAAGGTGTCTTATACCAAACACACTGCTAAGAGATACAGATTATTAAGTTAAAATTTTAATAATACCTGAAATTAATAAAGATAGCAATGATTTTAAAAAGAAGAATGTTAAATACAGGATGTCCTGAGAATAAAAATTTATTTCAGATTCAGGAAATATGATAAACAAAACTTGAATGGAGTATTAAGCTCTCTCCTCCACTCAGTGCAATTTTATCCCAAACTCTTTCAAACCTCCTCACAGAAAGGAATTGTAATTTGGGAGACTGATAAGTGTATTTGAATATTAAAAAGATCTAAATCCACATACTTGCATATCTGTGGAGTCTTTCAAGTTTTTTATCCTCTTTCTGACTACTTTTGTATACAGTTTGCATCTTAGTCTGAGAAGCTAGTTTAGATCCATTACTTTTGAAAAACAATTTTTATTGCTATTTACACATACAGGGTTTTCATCAGTAACGTGAAGCATTCATAGGTAGGAGAAAATATATTTCAAAAAAATTCACTATCAATATGAAGACATCTTGAGGAAATTGTTGCTAGTAACAGAACTGCCAAAGTGATTCTGGCATAAAACCATGGGGCGATGGGCATAATTTAAAGACTAAGTTATTTCTGCTGTGTTTTCAAAATACTGCAGGCACTGCTCATTGATCTCATTTAAGGTTAGATTTTGCTGAAGTCAAACTAATCATCAACTGTGTTCAACTTACGAGAGAAGACTTCAGCCTACTGTACCAAATACCAGAGCTGAAATCAAAATATGCAAAATCCACTCAAAAGAAGATTCATCTGCATGACTGTATATTTTTTTTTCCTCTTGGCCATTCTTCTGACAGTCCAAAACAGTGCAATATGGGAGAATTGTTCCAACAGAAGAATCTAATCCTGAGCATCACCATCTCACCCCAGTTACACCAGCTTTACAGCATGTGCTGGACAGCAATGAGTTGCCTCCCTGGGTGAAAGAGCAGCAGCAGCTGGATTGCTGCCTCAAAAGAACCCACCTGAGCTGCACTTCATGTCCTTTCATTTCCCCATTAATCCCAGGAAAGATGAAGCTACAAACAGGCTGTGTTTTTCATGGAGAATGTCAAGTATATAGGGGTACCAAAGCCTTGTGAGACAGCACTGCTTGACAATTCCTAGTGTAGAAATGCATACTGCACTTTCAAGTGCCAAAGTTTAGAGAAATGCAGAAGGTAAAAACAGACCAACTGTAGAACACATGCAGTATTATTTAAAGGCCATTAAGTAAAAATTGTGCCACTACTGGGCCAAGGAAATGGCAGGATGTCTTTATTCTGAATTTCTTCTCTCACAATGATTCACATCCACTCTGATTACTCAGCATTTCAGCATGTAATATTTTTATTTCAACATTCTTGTAATGCTAGTAACAAATATCTTACATCTGCTACTTTTCTTTTACACTGACTTCATGAGATTAATTTTGAGCTGAAAAAAATAAACATAACCTGGACTGCAAAAATGAGAGGGAAACAAAATACCCTTACCTGACTCTGGAAAAGCTCATTTTAGGAGACAACTTTAATTTCTAGATAGTCCACCTATTATATCATCTTTTTTTTTCCTTGTTTGCTTTCCAAAGCAAAACACATGTATGAAACAGCTATAGCTACATAACTTAATATAAGCATTTAATGGGCTTGTCCTGAAAAAGCAAAGTTATACTCCCAAAAGAGCATCCATCTGACAAATGTCAACAGCCTGTGTTCTACAGTACTATTTAATGACTTATTTCTAGGAAATGTATTATACAATATTCCAGAGTCATTGATGAATGCTTTCTAAATACAAGAAAAGTGCTGTGTAAACTCCAATTGGAGCTTGATGACACAATGAAACAAACTTTGCTTGGAGTACAAGAACACAAATATTTGCCTTTAGTCAATTTTTAAAACCACTGCTCTTGAAATAACCTGGCAAGGACCTCTGTTTTGATGCAACTGGTAGCACAGAGTATGAAATCCTCACATCACTAAAAAGCAACAAAAGTAAGTATTTATAGGCTAATATAGATATTCTGTGGCAATAAACGTTTTTATTATTAAATATCCAAGTTAGTAGGAAAAACATTTTCTAATGTAAGATTTAGGACAAAAGCCTAAGTATTGTCAGGGTTTAGGAAGCACTAGTTAAATCTGATATTTTTATTTTATCAAGAATAAAATACCCTTGGAGAAGATACTTAGTGTTCAATCTAACAACCAGTCCCTCTTGGAAACTAATTCTTTTTTTATAAACCTCATATGTGACTACAGATGAGTAAACTTCAGATGCCATTAATTTGTGATTACATAAAAAAACAAACAAAAAAATATGGAAACTTTAAAACTTTAGATACAAGCAAATATCCCTGAAGTATTTTGTTTAAAATGCAATATGAAATTTTTTCTTCGGAAGTAACAAACACAGAGGTTTTTCATCTCCATCAATTTAATCTATTATTATACTTCTCTTGAAGCACTGGATATTATCTACTAATGAAACAATTTGTTAGTGTAAGGACACAGTGTCACTAAGACAGAATACGGCAGCTCCTTTCACACCACTGAATTACATGCTGTTTCTGAGAAAAATGGGTTAACCAAGAGCCCACACTTTTTTCTGCTAAAGAAGATTCATTTATTAATATTGGCTGAGCTTTCTTCTGCTCGAAGTTTTAATGAAGGATGCTAAACAAATTAATTTTTTTTCAGCATTATGAAGTCCCTCCATCACAATTTAATCTCTGCACTGTACTAATGCAGTCCCAGAATTTTTGGACTTCAGCAGGAGCAGCACAAAATATTTAATCCAGACAAGACTGGGTAAACTGACAGTAACATTTTAAAATTACTACTTTATCTCCAAAATTTTATGAGAGAAAAAACATGAGAGTTAAGGACTAGAAAAGGAAGATTTGATTGATCTTAAAACTCATAATACACTGTTGCAAGGAAAGATATGCAACACTCATTTACACTATTACTTTTTTTTTCTGGGTATGTTACACCTCTGTCTAAGTGCCTGGAATTTGAAGCACACCTTCAATGCTCAACTGGAAAATCTGACTTAACATGCCTATTCTACCCCCAGCTGGAGACAACCAACACTTTTTTGCTTACTCAAAACCCTGGTTTCTTGTCACACTGCAGAGCACTCAGTGTGCTCCATTATACTGTGGAGCAGTCTTACACTGCTGCCTCAGGTATTACTGCTTTATGCTATTTAGTGTTTGCTACCATTTTACTTTTACATCATACAAAATACTAGAATTGTTGCAGGTTGCATTCTGCAGTACACATTTCAGCCAACACAAATAAATATTGGTTTGTGTTACAATACATTATTTTATTTTCCAAGAGCTGGAATTGACTGGAACAATGAAAGATTAATTTAGTTCTTTATTCAATTCTTACCTGAGAAGAATATGTGTGACCATCTGATCCACAAACAGGATTGGTATAAACTACTGGACACTGCTTGCAGTTTGATGAAATGGGACCACCCCTCCACTGTTTATGGCCTAAACCAGCCTCTTTCATACTGTAAGTAAACAAAAAGTATGTAATTCTGATAAACAGTAGTAAAAATAGAACATATTCAGGGTATTTTAATGAGCCTTTACAAACAGTAAGCCATACATAATTTGAACCATAAAATTTTCTTCTTCAGAAAGCGCTGCCAATGCCTTTGGCATAAACTTCTCCAACTTTGTACTTTACTTACTGTAGTGATATTTGATGCCTGTATATTAATTTATTTTCTAAGACATATAAGTAGAAAAGGATGATTAAGATAATGCTTTGGGGACTATTACACTTATTGACCAGTGAAAGATGTTGGAATTACTTGGCACTTACTCTTTTTGTTATTAAACAGTATGAATAGAACTTTGTATCAATAGTTCAACTGGTATTTTATGAGGCAACATTCAGGTTTTAAAGATCATAAATACTTCTACAGAAACAGGGAGGTCCTACTGGTCCTACTGTTTGCCCCACTCTGGACACTGTCTTTCACTGTTCACAATTTGCAAAATTCAGTCAACACTCTATATAAAGTTCAAAGGGAAAAAACCAAGTTAATCCACTGGAGCACAGAATCAATCTACACAAGCATATATGTATACACTCTTATAAACAGAGCTAGATGGATTATTTCGATTTAGGAAAAGGCTATGCTGGGTCAGACTAAAAGTCTAAGATAAGTTACTGATGCTTCTTCACAATACTTCTATAGTTTTCAGTTTGTGATACATGGCCATCTTCAGTCAGACATGCTTTTACTCTGTAGCTTTCAATTCATTCTTATTCAATTAACTTTTTTCAAATTTTTTTTCAAGCATGAAAGCATTTAGCAGCCACTGTATCCTGAAACAGCTCCTTTATGACCTAAAAATATATGAAGAAGTTACTTCTTGTACATAAATTAAAAAATAAACAATAATGCATGATTTTTATACTGGGTTTTTTCTTCTTGGGATCTTAATGAGGAACCTAAAATTGATTACTCTTAGAATACAGCAATGGCTTATCAGGACACACACAAATGTTCAAACTTACAAAATCTCAAGTCAAATATTCTTTAATAGAGCAGAACTCCTTCAGAACTCCTTCAACTCTTTCACCTATAAAGAACTATTTTGCTAATAATGAATCACTGTTTGAGAAGAACTTATCTGGACTAATAAAAAGACACATGGGAAAATAAACTCATCCTCTGGTTTTGTTTTACAATGAGCAAAGTAAAAGGCTAAAAGCACACACTTAGCAGTAAACTGGTGATGATAAAAAAAATCCCATTTCCAAGCCATGCTAATGTTTATAAGATGTGAATAATTTTAGCTGTGGTCTTTTAGATGGGAAAATAAAAAAAAAAAAAAACACAACAAAAAACACAAGAATCATAGAAGTTTAAACTCAGGTTATGCTGTGTAATGAAATTTTGAATTGATTTGAAGAGATTTTACAGTGTAAACAGGAACCTGAAATGCTGTACACAGAAGCTGTCAGTTACTATTGAAAAAGCCAGAAATAGCTTTAATTATATGCAGCCTAATGAGTAATAAATTATCCATACAAGATTTTATGTCCACCAGGTAGTACTAAAAAGGAAACAATTCAAACATATCACCTTAATTAAAAAGTAAAAATCTTTTCTGATAAGTTGCATAATTTGAAGACAAAGTAAAATCATTTCATTTCTATTATAGTAAAAAAAAAACTGAACTGGTATCTTTGCTTATGTACAATATGTAGCAATAATTGGTCTATTTTTGCTCCTTTCACTTGACTGAGAGTTTTCCAATCACTCACATGAGTTCCAGCATCATTAGATTACATAGTTGGCTGCATCTTTCTCTAACTTCTTGTTACTTTTATAGCTCACAATTATCCAGAAGTGCCCAGGTAGCCTGAGTCTACTGACAGGAACAGCAGCCCAACATCAACCTGATACAATTTCTGTTTATCAGAGATACAGAAACTTTAAAATGCCGTACAAATCAACTGCAAACAAAAGCTCCAGACATCAACAGAGAGGAGCTCATGGGCATCAGCAAAAGCCAGACTGGAAACAGAATTTGTGAGACACACAGGGGGACTTGGTGTAGATGCCTAAAATATATCAAAGGACTAGTGGTATTTAGTGTTTTAGCACATATACACCCTTGTGCATGCCCTTGATGAAAACAAGACAGAGAATGAAAAAAATCCCTCCTTTTAGATGAAGAGAAGTAAAATCACCTGAAGGAAAAGAAAACAGGCGTCTCAGAAAGGATTGCAAGGACAATGGAAACTAGAACAAGCTCAGAACATAGAAAATGCAGTTCTGTGATGAGTGGAGAGGTATGAAGAAAACAGAAAATATTTGATATATTCAGATAAAATACCTTCCTCAACTAACCTCTGCTTTGTTAGGCTTTTAAATGCAAACTGTCCCAGGGCACTCATTCAAGCTGACAAGTGTCAAATTTTCTCTTTTACACAGAACTCCTCTGAGACCTTCAGCAGATCACTGTTACAAAAATTGACTTCTATATAACCAATAATACTTTTATAGAAAAGAGATAGGTCTGTATTTTTCCAAAATTGTAATGAAAGGCAGAATGATAAAGAAATTATAAAAATAATGATACTTTGAAGGTATCAGTCCAGAGACCCAGCCATGGCAACAGTTTGTATGGATATTCAGAAGCTGTAGTACAATGATGCTGAAAGTGGACTGTATTAGCAAAGCTGCTGAACAGGTATTTTTGACTGACTTGCAAATACGAAAAGTCAATTAAAAATATTTTTAATGCTAGTTATGGTAGATATGTGCATTTCATAAAATACCTGAATAATGCATTTTACTTGTGTATTCAAACTTTTCCTTTCACCATTATTTAACTGCATCAGATTTATTTCTGTTGACTGTTTCCTTGTAACCAGGTGTTGGAGTTATGTTTTTTACAGCTAGGCAATGATTACACAGAAAAACTATTAACATGGAAATAAACGAGAAACTACTGTGATGGTAAAAATTATCTTGAGATATGATCACTGCTGTATGTCAACAATATTCTGAAATAGGCACAAAACTGTAACATATATAATTAGTTATTACTTATGTGAGCTATACAGATAAAGCAATATATGTTTACCTTTCCAAATGTTAAGACACTTAAAAAAAAAACCAATGAGGCAGTTATTTCACTTTAATAAATCACTTGTTTCTTCCTTGTATTTATTGTAATTCAAGATGCAAGAAGACCCAGATCACTGAAACTTGCAGCTAGTAAAATGTTGTCATTTAATTTTGCGATTCTACTGCAATCACTATAAATGTTCATGCATTAGTTACTATGCTGTCACATTAAATACATGATGTCATGAGAAAGTCAACCTCTGCCACCAAAAATTTCCTGAAAAGGATTTGGTACCTGTCTTGTAATAAAATAGTTATTACTGAAATAAGTTTCACCTTATCTGATATTGTTGATACCTAAAGGGTAAAATTAAATATATGGGCTTAATTTACCAGCAGTGCATCTGATTGCATTAATTTGCATACACCAAACTGTGCATGCCTGCCTAGAAACATAATTAGCCAATCTGCCCAATTACTCTAGCCTATGTACCTGTTTGCATACATAAACTTACCTTCCTGTATACACAGTGATTGTGCCTGCAAATACTTTGAGAATACTTAATGTAACCCATTTTAAATTTAGCTTTGAGAAACTCTTTGGCAACATGACTTATTTAATGACATCTATAAAATGCATGAGTGTCCAATTCAATTGAAAAATGGTATTTTATAGCTAGATTTGATAATCTTCAAACACATTTTTTTCAAATACAAGCTGGTTGAAAAAAGTCTGAGTTTCTAAAAACTAACCTTTGAACAAACTCTTGTAACTCTTCTCTGATAACTACATTTGCATCTTTAGGAGATTTTAGAGTGATTCCAATTTAGAGAGTCTGCCTGATTATGTTTTGCCATGGCCTTTGGGGGACACAATCAGGCTGTGTCAGATTAACATAATCAGAAAAAAACACTTGTATCATAAAATCTAAATTGCTTTCTTTAGAGTTGCCTGAATTTCCTTCAAAGTTGTCTTTTCATGTAGAAGCTTCTTAGCAGAAAACTATAGTTGTTAATATATTACTAAGATGTTTCTTTCAAATGACAAAAACCTCTCAATTCATTACTGCCAGTCTTTTTTGAGTATATTACTTTTACTTGTTTCTTTACTTTGCACTATTTCTAACAAATAGAAGAAAAATCCATCTGAATAATGTAATAAAAACTGAATTAAACTGAGATAAATAGAACAGAAATTACTAAGATTAATGTGGCAATCAAAATAAAATATATTTTAGCAACTTATAAATTAACACTTTTGGTAAGACATTTCTATTTATTGATAACCAATATTAGTGTAGATTGAATGAGCTAGCAAGTATACCATTTTAATTAGACAAAAAAACCCAAAAACTGCACCCCAACACAGAAATCATAGGATCATAGAATGTTTTTGGTTTGAAAGAACCTTAAAGATCATTTCATTGCAATCCCCCTGCCATGGGCAGGGACACCTTATCCTAGACCAGTCTGCTCAGGGCCCCATGCAGCCTGGCCTGGAACACTACTAGGGATGGGGCATCCACAATTTCTCTGGGCAACCTGTTCCAGTGCCTCATTACCCTCACAGTGAACAATTCTTCACTATTTTTCAGTCCCATCATTAAATGCCCTTGTAAAAAGTCCCTCTCCAGATGTCCTGCAGGCCCCCTTCAGGGGTAGTACAAGGTCTCCCCAGAGCCTTCTCTTCTCCAGGCTGAACAGCCCCCCATCTCTCTCAGCCTCTCTGTAGGAGATGTGCTCCAGCCCTCTGAGTATCTCTGCAGCCCTCCTCCGAATCTGCTCCATCCCATCCACATCCTTCATATGTTGGAGGCCCCACAGCTGGATGCAGCACTCCATGTGGGGTCCAACAAGAATGGAGTGGAGGGGGAGAATCACCTCCCTCAGCTACTGGCCATGCTGCTTTGGATGCA